CATATAAAGTAGAGGAAGATGGGCATGGATGTGAGCTCAGAGCCGGGCTTCCTCAGCAAAAAGAGGAGGACTAGCAGTAGTTAGCTCAGGGCTAATCTTCCTCAAAAAAAAAAAAAAAAAGACTGAAAAAAAATAAAGAGGGATGAAATAGTTTTGTTTTTAAAATGCTAATATTTACAATACATGGGAAAATTAATATTTTCTATTCCTTCAACTTATATTGAAAAACGTGCAAGAACGTATATGACTTTTTCAGGTTACTTTTAGAGTGTATGAGAACAAAAACATTTAAATATTATTGGTCTAGAGAAACCGTCCCCTTTTCTTTGCATAACAAACTCTCAAAAATGTTGGTACAATTAGGTAAAGAAAAGCAGGAAACTAACATTTTTGAGAGCCAACTATGAATCAGGTACTAAAAATATAATATTATTTATATAGTCAAAGCTACCATTTATTGATGGTTATCATTAGGGATTATTTACTGTACTTCTCATAACTACTCTATAAAACAAAAACTATTAGTTTTATCACTTTATAGATAAAGACACAGAGGTTAAGGATCTTGCATAGTCACACACCTGGAAAAGGTGACAGCTGGGATTAAGCTCCAGGTCGGCCTCACGCAAAGGCTTTTTACCGCCCTGCTGCTTTGTGCCTGATCTCTCCCTTTCCCTTCTTCACACTACAAGTTTTTGATAGCTCATGGGCCATAAAATAGTCAGGTTTCTGTTATAACTTATTTTTTGGCACCTTTTCTGACGAATACATCAAATGTATGGTTGCATAGGCTCCATTTATTTGAGATTGTCTGTACATTAAGGAACCTGGGATTCTATCAATAGTATCCTGGTTTGTTACAGCCTTTGGCTCCCATAGGAAAGGATTTATCTTCATTTGGAGTTGATTGTGTTCAATGGGCTGCCTCTGAACTCTTAAGTTTCTCTGACAAGGCTTTCTATCAATAGCTCAAGACTGGATGAAAATGCTTTAAAGGTTTTGAGCCCTCTCTTTAATTGTATTTCTTTTTATAATTTGAAAGACTGACTATAAATATATCCCCAAAGTAATCTTCAGTGATATATACTGGCAAATGGCTCTCCTATTATTGTATTGCACCAAGGTCCAAATTATGATGTTAAATCTCAGCCAAAAATATCTTGTGTTTTCCAAAAAACATGTATGGCCTCATTAAAAGAGAGCATTGTGTTAATTTTAAAAAGAAACTATGCAGTACACACATATTCATAGCAGCATTATTCACAAAGCCCAAAGGTGGAAGCAACTCAAGTGTCCTTCATGAATGGATGAACAAAATGTGATAAACACCTACAATGGAATAGTATTCAGCCTTAAAAAGGATGGAAATTCCAGCATATTCTACCACATGGATGAACTTTCAGGACATTATGCTAAGTGAAATAAGCCAATTGCAAAAGGACAAATACTATATGATTCCACTTACATGAGGGACATAGAGTAGTCAAATTCATAGATACAGACAGCAGAATGGTGGTTGCCCAGGGCTGGGAGAAGGGAGAGATGGGGAGTTAGTGTTTCATGGGTGCAGAGTTTCAGTTTGGGAAGATGAAAAAAGTTCTGGAGATGGATGGTGGTGATGACCGCACAATACTGTGAATGTCCTTAATGACACTGAACTGTACATTTAAAAATGGTTAAAATAGTAAATTTTGTTATGTATATTTCACCACAATAAAAAAGCTATGCAGAAGCTACAGGCCTTTAGTAAACAAAGGAATGAATTACCAATTTTTTCAAAAAGTCAATTATAGGGCCTGGCCCAGTGGTGTAGTGGTTGAGTTCGCATCCTCTGTTTTGGTGGCCTGAGGTTTGCAGGATTAGACCCTGGGTGTGGACCTACACACCACTCATCAAACCATGCTGTGGCGGCATCCCACATACCAAAGTGGAGGAAGATTGGCACAGATGTTAGCTCAAGGACAATCTTCCTCAAGCAAAAAGAGGAGGATTGGCAACAGATGTTAGCTTAGGGTCAATCTTCCTCACCAAAAAAAAAAAAGTCAATTATTATTTATTCTAAATTCAAAAGCAAATTGAAAGAAGAATCCTTCATTAATTAGAAAGTGCACATTTACAGTAGAAGTGATAGAACGCAGACACCTCAGTGATTTGACATTTATTTAATATACAAAGAACTACTAATGTACCATAGAATACAGTAATATGTACATGTGATGTTTTAAAGAAGGAATTTTCATTGTAACTCAACTTGAATAGCTATTAAAATGCCATTCAACATAAGAAAATCAACGGTACTTCATAATATGTAACTGACAGGCATTCCTGCAACCACGTGTATGGCATTATCCTATGTACTTCTGGATTTTCAGGTCTCAGCAGAGGAGGCAATTCTACTTTCTGGGTATAGGATGCATCAGATCTTCTTACCATTTTTTTTAAAAAAAGCAGCAATAATCAAAATGTTAATAAATTACTTATTGACTTAGTATATTTTTTTCTTGGAATAAAAGTCCAGAATGGGTAATAGAATAAATACTCTTGGCTTTTGAAAAATTAATAGACAGCAAAATCATGGAAAACCCATATGTCTGGATATTTTTAATAACACTATTTGAAGGGATCTTCACAGTTCCCGTGGTTTGAGCCTCTACATAGACACTGCCTGTGAACCTGAAGTGTTTATCCTGTCCTTACATCACATGGTGTTTGCTCAATGAACTTCGGTGCTTATGAGCCGTTACTTTACTCAATTGAGTTTTTTACGTGTGCCTTTCCTGATGCTAATGGCGGTAAGACCAAGGAACAAATGCCTACTGAATACTTAGGATGTGCAGCACCTCCTGTCACAGCCTGTAACGTGGATCCCAGTCCTGGCGGCTGAGGAGGTTTGGAAGAGGGAAATAAAATACATCGCAAACCAGTCAGGAAAGGCGGCCTGGTCAGGAAGCCACATTACTCAATGAGAATTCCAGGAGAGGGTTCTAAATATATGTTCCACCCTATAAGATAGGAATTCCTGTTTTAGTGAGCTACGTACGTACACCTAGGACACGTAACAAATATTTATGATGGGGAATGACATGGGAGATTCTTTTCCATCATCTTTCCTGTTATTTTCCTTAGTGTGTTTCTCTGTCACTGTGTGTAGGTTTGAGACCCGGATGCATTGATCTAATCAGAACACCGACAAAATCTTATCCACTGTATTGAACAGGATCCACAAAAGAAGAGATTCAGTTAGTAAGAACACTTGGAAAAATGTTTATTCTCACAAATAATGAAAAACATGAAAGTTCTAACAGTAAGATAAAATTTTTCATTCATTAGTAAAGTTTTTAAAATTGAAGTGCTAGTTACGATATGAGAAACTGGTATTTCTGCTATCAAAATTGGCAATACATATCAAGAACAATAAAATGTTAACCTTCAAAACAAATAATTCTATTTCTTGGAATCTGTCTAAGAACATAAGTGGAAAATGTGAATAAGAAAAAGCAGTAAGATGATAATGGTTTTGTGAAGATGATAGGATTATAGATAATTTTTGCCTTCTAAATTCTTGGAATTTGTGATTTTGTTACCTTTAGAATTTAAAAACCATAAATTAAAAAAATTAATACTGCCTTTGTGAAAGATCATTTTGTGAGCCTTATTAGTAAATAATTTGCTCAATATCTCAATTTCTTGATATCTCCCATTTCCTATTGTCATTGTACCTGCATCATTCCAAAATCTGTGAAGAGATGATTTCATTGAAAATACTTTTATTTGGCTGTAATGCAGTCAGCACCCATCTGAGCAGAGCTCTCTGTCTCCTTCCTCAAAAGCCCACAGTGTCTCGCTGAGGCCTTGAGAGTCTGAGCCCCACACACGGTCGTCCAGCCTCCCCTGTGATTTTGTGAGTCAGACAGTGTCCTTCAGTTCTTTTGGCTGAGTCAGTCTTGGTTGCTTGAAACTAAAGAAAGAACCAAAACTCACACAGGCAGGAGGTTCCTGGGCAGAGGGACGCTCCAAGGCCCCTAACGGGAGGGGACACAAAGGACTTCTCAGCATGCCTTGTACCAGACGCTCCACTTGTTCTTGCCCCATCTGCTCACACTTTCCGCTTTTTTGGAATCTTTTCTGAAGTATTCCGCCCTTTCACCTCCACATTTTGAATATATATATATGTTTTTATTTTTTTTAAAAAAGGAACGGTGAAAGGAGGGTGGGAGGGAGGGAAGTGAAAGAGCAAAGGAAAGGAGAAAGAAGGCCAGTGGGAAAGGAAAAGAAAAAAGGACATTTATTCAGCTGAGAAGTTTCTCCCCTTCCAGAAAGTGAAGACCCTCCCCTCCACTCCCAGAGGCCCCTGCCCTTGGGCACTCCCTACATGCCGCCCAGCGTCACTGGTGTGTGTGTCTTGCACCATCCCATCCCCCACCAGATAGGAAGCTCACTTGGGAAAGCATCTTGTTCAGTTAATCATTTTCTCCTCCACGGTGCCTAGGTCTTGTGCCTTCACTTAGCAGATGCTCAAAAGATGGTTGATGTTTGACTGACAGAACTTGAAAAAAGTTCTCCAAAATTCAGAGGGAAAGGGAACGGCAGCAAATCCAGTAATATCTAGCTTAATTATACATTGATGGTGACCTACAAACAAGGTCCCTTGTGAATAACAACTTAGAATTAAAATTTAATTATTCTTTAAGATTGATCATATCACCAAAGGAGAATATTATAAATAGGTTTAATTGTGCCACTAATTTAGGAGATATTTAGCAATAATCTACTTAACCATTCTCTTGTTCTTAGACATTAACATTGTTTTTTTTTTAAAAGATTTTACTTTTCCTTTTTCTCCCAAAGCCCCCCGATACATAGTTGTGTATTTTTACTTGTGGGTCCTTCTCATTGTGGCATGTGGGACGCTGCCTCAGCATGGCATGATGAGTGGTGCCATGTCCGCGCCCAGGATTCGAACCAGCGAAACGCTGGACCGCTGAAGCAGAGCGCACGAACTTAACCACTTGGCCACGGGGCTGGCCCCTAACATTGTTTTTAATATTTTACTATTTTAAAGAATTCTGCAAATATAGATGTTGGGATAAGAGGGGGACTTATAATCAAATTTAGATTTCTTCCTTAGGATCGATTCCAGAAGTGGAATTATTGTATCAAAAACATTTTATGGCTCTTGACAAGCATAATCCAATAACTCTTCAAAAAGGAAAAAAACAGTTATGTTCCCACCAATAACGTAAGAATTCCCATTTCATCACACTCCTATCAGGATTCTTATTTTTTTAACATGCAAATTTGATAGGTAAAACATTCTATTTTGTCTTAGTTTTCATGTCTATGATTATTAATGAGGTTGAACATATTTTCCAGGTGTTTTAAAACTAGTTTTGCGGTTTTTTCCTTTTATGAATCATCTGTTCCTGTCAACAAAGCATTCCGCATCAGACACTCTGCCTACCAAATTTTGAAATGTTCCTTAAAATGCTGTACAGCTTTTGCCAGCACGTGGCTAAGGAAGTTAGAATTCTCAGCACTTTCTTCAAGAGGGATCTTGAGTGTGACATTGGGCGAAGGCAGAATGTTGAAGTCTATCGTCATGTCACCTCGTTTGGAAAAATTTCCTTCAGGAACACCTGGAATTACCTAAAAAGAAGGTTTATACAGTAAAAGATTACTAAATTGCAGTGCACATTCAGGATTAATTTAATACCATGTTAGGCAAGACAGGCTAGGTTGTGCTGAGGTAACAAATTAGCCCCAGCATTCCAGTGGCTTCATGCAACAAAAACTTATTTCTGGCTCATGTTACATGTCCAATACAAGGGCTCTGTACCACCTAGACACTCAGGACCCTGGCTGACAGTGCACGTCGTTTCACGGCTGTAGCATATGGTACACATGGCTTTCTTTGTGCCCTCAGCAGAGAAAAAGAATGGATAACCACACAAGGCTCTTCATCACCTCAGTCTGGAAATCACTGTTGTCATTTTTGTTCACCTTTCATTGGCCAGAACTTGCCACATGGCACCACTTAACGGCAAGAGGAGCTGGAAGACGTGAGTGAGCAGATGGAATATTTGGTGAGCACATTGTCTGTGCCACAAATATTAATGTGATGCACCAAGTTTTGTACTGGGTTTTCCCAAGAAAATTACACATTATGGTTGTGTGTGTGATTTTTGTAAGAACCAGTCATCTGAAATTCACATCAGTTACTCTCTTAATGAATTCTCAAGTGCATATACTTTGATTTTAATAATAGAAATGAAACTGTCCTGACATGCAACTTGATGTAACCTTAAGAGAACTATTTTGAAAATGTTTTCAAATAAATTCCCTTATCAAAAAAACTAAAGCAAGGGGCTGGCCTGGTGGCACAGTGATTAAGTTTGCACGCTCTGCTTCAGCAGCCCAAGGTTTGCCGGTTTGGGCCCTGGCCATGGACCTACACACTGCTTGTCAAGCCATGCTGAGGCAGGCGTCCCACATATTAAAATAGAGGAAGATGGGCACGGATTTTAGCTCAGGGCCAGTCTTCCTCAGCAAAAAGGGGAGGATTGGTGGTGGATATTAGCTCAGGGCTAATCTTCCTCAAAAAAAAAAAAAGCCCACAAAAAAACAAAAAAACTAAAGCAAAATATTAAGAAGCCAAATAAAAACTGATAATGTCTTAATTCTAGTTCTTAAAGGAATAGCCAACATAACTTTTCCCCTTTTCCTTTTGGTGAATATAACACACATGAAGACTGCATGAAGCATTTATGTCTAATTTAATAAATAATTATAGAGCTGACACCCGTGTAACTACAACCCAGGACATAATTTTTTTCACCTGCCGGAATGTGTATATTTTTTACATAAGGTTCCTCTTCAGTACTTGCTGTTTTATGGCTTTACATTTTCTGTTACATAATGAAATAAAAGCTGTTTTGAGAAAAATAACTCTTATAGGTAGTTCAACAAATTGCTTAAGTTTACCAATTCTGAAGAAACACTGCTTGAGTTTGAATCACAGTTCTACTATTTACTAGCTGTGTGACGTCAGATAAATTGTTTACCTTCTCTGTGCCTCATCTGAAAAATCTGGAAAACAATAATACTTACCTTATAGGATCATTGAGGGTATTAAATGATCTGATATATGAAAAAAGTTCTTAGAACATCGTCTGACACGTAGTAAGTGCTCTTCAGTAAAGATTATTATCAGAAAAAATATCATTGAAAACCATAATTTTATTTTCTACAGAGGTTTTTACACAGAAGTGCCTTTGTTTTCAATATAAGGAATTTTAGACAAGTCTGTTCGTGTTACTCAGAGACATTGGAATAGAAGCAAATGGAAGCGTAGAATGAAAAATATTGACAACAATGAAAACAATTCAATATTGGCTGTACCTTTCTAAAGTTTGAAAGCAGTGCTAAAATTTTTCTTCAAATTTTATTCTTCAAGACAAGAATTTTTCCTCGTTAAACTAAAAATCTGTGGTATTTGTGAGGATGATCAAATACGCTGAATTATTCTCCTCTCTGAGGGTACGATCTATCTCATGAAGTAACAGAATCAGAGAGTCCGCAGGCATTGGAGAGTGGCTTTCAAACCTCTTGACCGTGGCCTAGTTACAAATACATTTTACAGCCTGACTCAAAAACACACATGTCTTACGTCTATGTGCACACATATTTATACAAACACATATGGAAATGAAAGTTCCATGACGTATGCATATGGCTTATCAAACGTTGGCACTCTAATATTTTCTATTCTAGTCTGTCCCACTGTTTTTGTTTGTTTGTTTTGTTTTTTTAATGTTCTGGTTGTAACTCTCTGGACTTACTTCTCAAGCCACACACTGGCCACAACTCTGCAGTTGGAAGAGAGTGAAACACTAGCATACCGAATGTCAGAGGTCAGATTCCCTAAGAGCGGAGCCTGACACTCTGACGTGGGTGACTGAGCAGGCAGCCTTCAGGTGAAACTTTTAAGGGGATGAGGCAAAGCGAGACAGAGAAGAGGGAGACGCTAATCTGGGATGTGGCTTCAGAAGGTGACCTCACCTGACCCTGCAGGGAACTCTGGATCGTAAGTGGCCCCAAGGGCAATCCTTTGGAGAAGGTTAGGGGGTGAGAAGTCAGCAGCAGCACCAGCTGGAGTTGGAAAGGGACCCCTGGGGAACTTAGGGCACCAGCGCTCCATGCTGCACAAAATATTGCATCTTCAATTGCTCTGCCCAGTGATTTTTGTACCCAGGTCTTTTTAGGAACCTGCCAATACTGACCTCACCAGGAATCACTAGCCTGGTGCCTTGGGATATTAAAGTGATATGTGCATTGTGGGAGGTCAGGAAAGAAATTCAGTCACTGTTTTAAGCAAAAAGAGTTGTTGATTGAATGTGGGAGACATGGCATAAGTGCAACTTAAGATGGCAATTTGTTTTTATGTGAAGGTTAGTATATAAAAATGTTTACTTCTCTAGGTAAGTCAGACGCTTACTGTGTCAAAAGCTGAGCGCTATAATTTACACAGTTCTTGCTTTGTAAAGGAACCTATACTAATCACTTTAAGGACATACATTTTAAAGCAGCTGTCATTACTTCCATTTTGCAGATGGAAAAACTGAGGCCTAGAAATGTTAAGGAACTTTTCCAAACTTACTCAGCTGCTAAGTTTCAGAGTCAGCTTTTGAAATCGTTACTGTATCTGAAAGTCTTCTCTCTCAAAAACTACATCGGCCAGGTTTCTTCAGTGTCACCTGTATCAGTTATAGCACTATATAGCTCTAAGAGAATTAGCCATCTCTGCATTTAGAAAGGGTTTCCTGTTTTAAATTGGTTTTCTCTTTAGAGTTTCTTGTTTTCTAAAGACCATGCACAACGTTAAAAACAATCACAAGGGAAATATGAATATCCTCCTATAGCTTGTTTTCAAATTCAGATATAATTAATAAGTAAACTAACAGAAAAATCAATGTATGCACATGTAATCTCCATATCTGTTCTTGGGTCCCTCCGTTACCTCTATGGAATTGAAGATGTTCTCAGTTCCTGGGGTCTGGTTTGCCAGTTCAGTCACCCAGCCAAACTGCTCTCGCATCCTCTCCATCAGATACGCGGTGTCGTCCAGGTGCTGCTGGGTCATCTGGAGAACCTGGGTGTACTGCTGATTGGATATGTTGACGAGTTTAAGGGCCTCATCCACTTTTGAGTGCAGTTCAGGTACATCAGGACAGTCTAGCAAAGAAGAAAGGAACACGATAAAGGAACAGGTCCATGAGATTTGGAGTTGGGTGATGTGGGCTTAAATCCCAGCCCTTACACTTTCCATTCCAGCCTTTTGACCTTGAGTGAGTTTTCAAATGAGTAAAATGAGCGTGAATGAAATAATAACGTAAAGTGCCTGATCACACGGTTGGCGCACGTTACAGACTAGCAAATGTTCCTTTGCCTTCCTTTTTCTCCTTCTGTTCTCTTTGAAGATTGTCAGTGCTACTCCCTGATATCCTGATCCTCCTACTTCAGGACACACAGGGATGTACTTCCCTGCCAGCTCGAAGCTGACTGTGGACATCTTTAAAGTGATGTATCTCATTTCTGGAGGAAGCCTTCAAGAAAGGTTTAGGTTAGCTAAAATAAAAAGACAGGCAGTAATATGTGTTGACAAGGATTTGGAGAAATTAGAACCCTCATACATTTCAGTGGGATGTATGTAAATGGTGCACCCAGTCTGGAAGCAAGTTTGGCAGTTCCTGAAAATGTTAAACATAGAGTTATCATTTGACCCAGCAATTCTACTCCTAGGTATATACCCAAGAGAACTGAAAACATATGACCACACAAAAACTTGTACACAAATGTTCATAGCAATATTGTAATAGTCATAAAGTAGAAACAAACCAATGTCCATCTGCTGAATGGATAAACAAAATTTGGTATATCCATACAATGGAATATTATGTAGCCATGAAAAGGAATGAACTTCTGATCCATGCTACAACATGGGTGAACCTTGAAAACATTATACTAAGTTAAAGAAGTCAGTCACAAAAGGCCACATACTGTTTGACTCCACTTATATGAAATGTCCAGATTAGGCAAATTCAGAGAGACAGAAGGCAGGTTAGTGGTTGCCAGGGGCTAGGTAGTGGAAGCAGGTGGGAAGAATGGGAAGTAAGAGCTAATGAGTGCAGAATTTCTTTCTGGGGTGAAAATATTCTGGAATTAGATAGTGGTGACGGTTATACAACTTTGTGAATATACTAACCACCATTGAATTGTATACTTTAAAAGGGCGAGCTTCATGGTATGTCAACTATATTTCAGTAAAGCTGTTATTTAAAAAAACATACTCACATGATCCGTGGGACCCACAGCACCTGGAGGCATTTTTTAGTCACCACATAGACATAAGAAGGAATGTTTCAAGAGAAGGAAGGAAGAAAACCCACATGTAGCAGGTGTCTCTTATGAAGTGTAACAATTTGTATCCGTTAGCTTTTGCTCCAGCCATCCCAGCTGAGGCCTCTCATCTTCCAGAAGATTAGCCTGGGCTTGTTCACACCGTGATGGATAGGTTTCCAGCAGCAAGAGAGGACAAGCCTTAATTTACAAGCACATTTCAGGTCTCCCCTTTGGTCATATTTGCCAATGTTTCGTTGGCTAAGGACAGACCCATGGCCAAGCCCAGAGTCACGAGTTGGAAAAATAGACTCCACCTCTTGATGGGAGGATCCACAAAATATTGTGGCCATTTTCATCCTAATCCACTGTATATTTGTCCCCTTCTGCCTGTGAGAGTTCCCAGCTCAGACCTGTTGTTCCTTGAGTAACTATTAATATTGAACATCACTTTCAAAACAGATCCAATTTAATGGATAATTTTACGGTCTCGTGTAACAGAAACTGTGCCAGAGAAGAAATTCCTCAGCAGAAATCCCACGTGCCTACCACCTACGTTAAGGAATAAAATATTACCCAAACAGATGAAGCCCCCGCTGCGCCACTTCCACATCACAACCCCTTTGTCTCCTCAAAAGGAAACTGCTACTTTGAATTTGGGTGTATATATCCAGTAATTGATATGGGAAAAGAGGGAAAGAGCCACTTAAAGTGCATTCATTTAAAAGTGGGACCAAAAATGTATGGTAAAGAGTGAAGAAAATGATTTATGATGTTTTGGAAAACATTTTATTTATCAAATACAAGGTTATAATATAGCTATGTGCTTAGTCTTAGAACAAAGAATGAATCAAAGGTTGATTGAAAAGGCAAAATCGTTGTTTGACAAACTATACAAGAGTTGTTTGTAACAGCAAAACATTGGAAGCAACTTGGATGAAGCACTTCCGCAGGAGAATGGATGAATGAAGTGTGGTAGGCCTACGCCGACTAGCACAGGACAGCGATTAATGAATTGGAACAATGCAGAGTCACGCGGCCAAATCTCACAAACTGTAACTGTGTGACAAACCAAGTTGCAAAAGAACACATAAGGAATGATATTTGGATTGTCAAGAAAAATTATCCCAAACTTGGAAATAAGGCAAAAGAACGGCTGTGTGTCTTTTCAATGTCATATAAAGCATTGTCTTGAGGTCCACCCAAAGATTACTTAATTCTCCGGGGAGATGTTCTCTGGTAGATTTATAACTATTTACTGTTGCTTAGAGCCAGACTCTAGGCAGTTAGATGCAAACTATAGACTGGAAGTTTGCAAAGGATTTTTGTCCAGTGGAGATATAAGTTATTTTGGCTTGATAGAAAACATAACTGCAAAAGTGTAGTTTTATTGCCCTTTAGTATATTAACTTCATATCTAATTTTGCAATCTTACTTCAACATTCTATCTTTGACTGTAAATACTTCAGTCTCTCTATACTCCTTCGAAACAGCTTTAACTCATTAACAGAAAAAAATTAATCTTGACATGTGCTCCTTTTGTATTTGTATGAGTCATATTTTTAAGCTTAAAAATTATACTTTGACAATACAAAAATTAAAAACACGTAAAACATTGCTATGTATGGTGTATGTGTGTGCTATATATAAACATACACGATAAAGGTATAAAGAAATGCAAGGAAATAATAAACACCAAATTCAAAACAGCAGTTTCCTTTGGAGGGGATAAAGAGCACAACCTTCCACACCTCTGGAAGGTGCACAGTGGGGGCTTCACCTGTTTCGGTAATGTTTTGTTTTTTTAATCTAGGCACACAGGTTTTTATTATCTTATTCTTTTTTTTTGGTTGAGGAAGATTAGCCCTGAGCTAACATCTGCTGCCAATACTCCTCTTTTTGCTGAGGAAGACTGGCCCTGAGCTAACATCCGTGCCCATTTCCTCTACTTTATATGTAGGACGCCTACCACAGCATGACTTGCCAAGCGGTGCCATGTCCGCACCCAGGATCCGAACCAGCGAACCCCGGGCCGCCAAAGCAGAACGTGCGCACTTAACTGCTGCACCACTGGGCTGGTGCCTATCTTATTCTTTACACATTTATAATAAAATGCATTTTATAATAAAATTGTTTTACCTTTGCAGCAATCAATTTACACTGCATGTATACTGTATCTAATGCATTACCTGATGCATATTGATTATCTGATGCTTTTATGCTGTATTATCTGATTTCTTCTGTATTAAATTTTTTCCGGTTTTATTGAGAAATAGACATAGTTTAAGGCGTACAACATGATGGTTTGATTTACTCATACTGTGAAATGATTACTGCAATAGGTTTAGTTAACATCCATCATCTCATATAGATACAATCAAAAGAAAAGAAAAAAAATTTCTCCTTGTGATGAGAACTCTTAGGATCTATTCTTTTCACAACTTTCCTATAGACGATACAGCAGTGTTAGCTATAGACATCGTGTTGTACATTACATCCCTAGTAATTGTTTATCCTATAACTGCAGGTTTGTACCTTTTGACCCCCTTCCTCCAATTCCCCTTCCCCATCTTCTGTATTATTTGATGACGATCAGGGCGAGATGATAATCAAAGCTTTTAACTGGATGAAAGAACATTAATGATACTGAGACGGGAAGTTTGAGTGGGACTATTTTTGTAAGTGGTCAGTACATCAGTGTGTATTTTTCTGTTATAAAATCTTCTGTTTCTGTATGCAACCTTGTAACTGTGACTTAAGAAACAAACACTTGAATAATGAGAATCATTAATACGTCAGACATTTTATTTAATCCTCAAAACACCTGTGTGAAGTAGAGAGACGAATCCCATTTTCCAAATGATGAAACAGAGGCGCAGAGAGTCAACCAGTCAGCAATTCAGGAGAAACAAGACCCTCATTGGCTCTATGAAAAAGGTCAGTTTATATTCAACCTCCTACTCCAACCCATTAGCCACACTTTTTTAGAACTTCTTTCCCTTAGGGCTTTAGCGAGGTGGAAAGCAGGTGCACAGAAATCAAAAGTTCCTCTTGGCTTTCTAAGCAAATTTTCGTTTGGGTCCCAGCGGGTGAGAGGAGCGACTTCAGTTAAGGAAAGAAGAGGTAGACCAGGGGAGGGAGGGAGCGGGGGGACTGGCCCTGGAGAGAAGGGTTTCTCTCCTGGGAAAGGAATGAAAGGCCACTCTTTGGCCGCTCTGGGAGGAGAAAGGCTTTCTGGGGCTCGTGAGAAGCCACTTTCCATATTTAACTACTGATTAGTAATTAACCCGCCAACTGGAAGGAGTTAACGCCACTTTCAGAAAAACTCACTTGGTTACAACTTTGCTAACACAACGGGAAGGTTGCTTCATTGGCGGGTTTTCTTTTTGTTCACAGTAAGAAAAGAGTTGCCCCATTTTGCTCACAATTCTCTTTTGCACACGTTAGTGTTTGCTCTTTAACCATAAAAAATTTCACAGGAACAATAAGAATTTAAAAAGGGGAAAAGTGAGTTGACCTACTTTTGAATAATAAAAATTTATAAACCCAAACTGAGCACTCCCAGATGGAAATGAGCACGCAAAAAAGTGCTTGAAGGGAAGCAAATGAATCCACAACGCTTGTAAAAGTGAGATTTTTAACCTCTGACCAGCAAACTATTAAAACTCTGAGAAAATAAGAGTTATTTACCTTCCCATAGGTAATCCTGACATTTTTGGCATCTTGCATGAAATTGGAAACATTCTGACAAATTCTGGCCAAGATCTCCACACAGTCCTCTGTCCCCCACAGGCAGCATCTTTGAACTCGGGCCTCCACGGTCAGAGTCTGCAGGTAACACAGAGTTTCCAGGTTAGTTTCATTAGAGTCTGCACTTTAAAGGAGTAGATACAATGTCGTTTCTTGCTTTTTCTTATTGTTGAAAGATGTGTTTTCAACATCTTCCTGTATCCAGTCATAGGAGCACACATTGGTGCAACCATTTGCTAGGACAATTTGACATCTACCAAAAAGTGGACACATCCTTTAATCCAGCAATCTCAATACTATTATTACTCATCATTATTAGTACACTTCCCTCCTACATACATACACACAGATGTTAATGCATGTAATTTTATTTTCTGGAAGAAGTCATAAAAAATTATTAATAGTAACTTTTTAAAAATCCAAGACTGAAAGTACATATGCAAACCTTGTATTTAATTAAATAAATCACTTAAAATATTCTTAATTACAATCACAAGTTTTTCAGCAAAATATGTATTTACAAAGTTGTAAAAATGGCCACATGTCAGTAATTGATGAATTTTATGTCTCTCAGTTTAAGATATGTTTTATGCTATAAACCATGATGCTAACTTTTTGAATTATCCACCAAAATAATAAACATGTATAACCATATCGCAAAACCCAATCTAATCTTGTCATTTAAATATATAATGTTTTTTCTCTGTTACATTTTCGTGCATCATCAGTGTGCATTCTCTTAAAGATTTTATTTTTCCTTCTTCTCCCAAAGCCCCCCAGTACATAGTTGTGTATTTCTAATTGTGGGTCCTTCTAGTTGTGGGATGTGGGATGCTGCCTCAGCATGGCCTGATGAGCAGTGCCATGTCCATCCGCACCCAGGATTCGAACCAGCGAAACCCTAGGCCACTGCAGCAGAGTGCGTGAACTTAACCACTCGGCCATGGGGCCGGCCCCTCAGCATGTGTTCTTTTATGCTATGGTGTATCTCACTCATGAGAGTTTGTTTGACAAAAGGGATTCAACCCGCATTAGGAAGAATCAAAGCTTCTTTCATAAGGATTGAATGTATTAATAGACGTTTCTCACAATCCTGCAGTCACTCAACCAAAGCCATCATCTATGTGGACAGCCTTTGGATAAGAAGAGTTCACGTGATAATCTCCATGTGGCCCAACTTTTAAACCTGGGTGATACATTCTCTTATAGACTGACAGTGCTTTATCTATGTCAGTAACTTCATTTGAAACAATTTATATTTTAGGTTTACTTGTTTGGATTTTATGTAAAATTATGATCTCATATTTGGAACTTGAAAATTGTCTTTAGCTTTTTTTCTAATAATTGATGTTAGCCTTTGCACAACTATCAAACTGGAAATTTTTAACTTATGCTCCACATCTTTCTCTGTCTCATCTACCACAGCTATTCAGTGAAGTCTTTAATTTCTACCTCTTCATCTTATCTCCATCCTACCTTCCTGATCCGTCTCCACTGCCACTGTCTACAAGTCCCCATTAACCTGATGATTTTCTGTTATATTAAATCCTCAACATTTAAAAATGAAACATTTCATTTCGAGATAAATTGTGAAGTCCATTGCTTAAAAACCTAGGAGGCACTTGTTAGATCATATGGTTCATAAGGCAACCGTCTTCTTTGTGGAATAGAAAGTCATTTCCTCCCAGCAGCCTTCTGGAACCCTCCCCTGTAATAAAGTGGCATCTCCTCTCGCCCACAGCACCCCTCGGAGTTCTACTGTAGAACTTCTCTCTGCTTTATGTACTGTTCGCTTTCGTATCTTCTCTATTAGACTCTGAGCCCCTTGAGGGAAGGGATTTGGTCTTATTTTAATCTTGTCATTTTCCCGTATCTTCTGTCATTTCACTTATGATATGGTAATGTAATTGTCCACTGATCTGTCAGTTTTCCTTTCTCTGAAATGAGCTCCTAAAAGTCAGGGGCTGTGTCATAACCATCGTCTTATTCCCAGCGTCTAGATTAATACCTGGTATATAGATCAGGGATGCCAAATTCCAGGTCCACTGACATCAGTTCCCCATCCTGTACCACAGCATGGCACTAACCCATCACCTCACTTCAGTCACGCCATGACAAAGCCTCAGGACCCTTCTAGGCAGCTACTGCCAGCACCATCACTGATATGAGCCATGTACTCTCCCCACCTGCCTCTGTTCCCTACCCTCCAAGGGAAAATTAAAGTCAGCAAACACTCTCCAAGGTAGGATTAGAACCCAGATCTCCTGGCATCCAGCACTTGTCAAGCTACTACCCTACAAGGTTTATTGAACACAATCTCATCTATTCTTTCCAGGGATTTATAAGGCAAGTGAGGGCAACTGCCAGAGCTATTTCATTCTTTCAACAGATTCAGGAACTGAGGTCTAGAAAGGCCAAAGTAGGAAAGAAATTCTTCCATATGGAGACTGAAATGAAACCACAACAAAATAAGTAGTAAACATCAAGATATTTCAGATTTTTTATTATCGCCTCTCTCCTTTTAATGGTGTTTGTTATTCAGTTTTAGCTATTTGTCTAATTTTGGCTCTTAGGATGATCATGACAAATAAACTCCATCCATGAAGGTTGCCAGATAGACAGTGCTCACTCATTAATGTTGGCCATAGTAATTGACAATAGATCTCTATTAGTTTCCCATTGCTATCATAACAGATCGCCACAAATTTAGCAGCTTGAAACAACAAATTATCTTCCACAGTTCTGTAGTCAGAAGTCTGAAATGGATCTCATGTTGCTAAAGTGGAGGTGTCAGCAGGGCTGTTTTTCCTTCTCGAGGCTCTGGGGGAAGAATCCATTTCCTTCCTTTCTAGTTTCTAGGGACCACCTACCGTCCTTGGCTCATGGGTCCCTTCCTCTATCTTCAAAGCCAGCAAAGTAGGGCCAAGTCCTTCTCATGCTGCCATCTCTATTGATTCTTTTTTGTCTCCTTCTTCCACTTTTAGGAACCCTTGTGACTACATTGGAGCCACCTGGATAATCCAGAATACTCTCCCTATTTTTAGGTCAGCTGGTTGGCAACCCCAATTCCATCTACAACCTTACTCTCCCCTTGCCATTAGCAGAACATATTCCCAGGTTCTGGGGATGAGGGCTTGGTAGACATCTCTGGGCAGCTATTATTCTGCCGACCACGAGGGGCAGAGCTCAAAATGTCTTCTCACTGGGTGGATTTTCCAGGCATGATAGGTTTATTCCTCCCCTACCACCTGTCCAGAAAAGTGATGGAAACACATGCAAATGCCCTACAGCCCCTGCCTGACTATTCTTGATAAACAGCCACCTGTGCTCTTCTGAGAAGACACTGTCTCCTCTGTTGGGCTGGCTGTGGACCGTCTGGTTAGGGTAGGGATCCCAGAGATAGAAGAGTGTAAGGGTGTAACACAGGCTTCTTTGTTTTTAATTTTGCATTTACAGGGGACCCTGGACATCCAGGTCATCACCGAGATGCAAGTGATGTGGGGAGTGGGGAGGCAGGGAGAGTGGGCCCATGAGCCATCTGAGAGCAGGGGCTGGTCCTGAGCCGTGTGAATGGGGAGGAACCTGAAGCAGAACGGGTGGAAACCCACATTCTTAGTCGGTGGAGTGGGAGGGAGTCGCAGTGGTTGGGAAATTATCTAGATTTCAACGTGTCTGAGTCACTACTACTCCTGTGCACATTTGAACGTAGCAACCCATGTGTAAGGTCGCTACACAATGGGAAAGCTGGAGGGGGGCATGATTTTGTTCTAATGAACACATTCTGAATATTATTCTAAACAACTGACATCTATTTAAAAGGTCAGGCAAAAATTATTCAGTATCATCCCAGTACTGACATAGTCTACTGCCTTGATGCTTTTCCTGAATATTTGGTGAATTTGGAGCCTCAGAATGGAACACCAGACAAAACACCTGACTTACAAGAAAAGTCCACGGGACCCCGAAATAGAACCTAACAACAATTCCAGTAATGATGTCTGTTCTCCGCTCCCGGAACAACCAGGCAGGAAGGATGTAACGGATTGCTTTCTGCCTTCAGTTTCTGACAGTGTGAGGTAAGCCCCTCCTATATAGAAGCCAGTTATGCAATGTTGTGGCAAATTTGAGAATTTGACTCAGGTGTTGCCAGCTGCAGCTGATATAATTGGGAAAGCATCAGCCAGAAGGAGCCTGTTTTTTTCCTACATACAAAAAGCTGTGTATAATTAATATATACAACTTGATGAGTTTGGAGATAAGTATACACCCATGAAACCATCACAATCTATGCCATAAAACTATCCATCACCTCCAAAAGTTTCCTCCTGCCCTCTTATTTATTATTATTATTACTACTAGTGACAAGAATGCTTAACATAAGATCCAACATCTTAGGAAATTTTTAATTATACAACATGGTATTGTTAACTACCATTGTTAACTATGCTGTACAGCTGATCTCTGGGACTCAGTCATCTTGTATAACTGAAACTTTGTACCCTTGACCACCACTTCCTCGTTCCTTCCTCCCGTCTGCACCTGGCAACCGCCATTCCACTGTCTTTCTCTATGGGTTTGACCATTTTAGATTCTTCATATAAGTGGGATCATGTAGTATTTGTCCTGTGTCTGGCTCATTTCACCTAGCATAATGTCCTCCAGGTTTGTCCATGTTGTCACAAATGGCAGGATCTTAGAAGGAGCCCATTTCATTTTTCACGTCAGAGGGGAGCAGCCTTTTACTTGGCCTAGCGGTCAATAAGAGATAAGTCCAAGGAAACGCCAGTCCTACAGTTGCCCACATGGCAAGCAACTCTCACTTCTGAGATGCTGTGTCCCAGTCACTCCACAGAAGCCTGAAGATGATATCTCCTTCTTCCTTAAAACATAAAGCAGTGTTGTTTTTCCAACATGGAATATCAGGGGGCCCGAGTGGTACTGGTAGGATACCAATTCTTATCCTTTACAGAAATTCCTATTTCTGTAGTTTTGGGATTGTCTATGAGCATTTTCTACGGTTTTGTGCATAAGTGTTATGGTGTAAGGAATTACAGCAGTGATGTCAAGAAGGTCATGGAGGGCACTAAATGTGACCTGTTATACAGATACTGGGCTTCTTCCCCACTGGGAGTTCAGGAGCCTAGACTGATTGTAAAGAAACCCCATGATGCTCAAGCAGAATAGAGCTGAGCATCCACACGAGTTTTAATAAAGGAGGCAACCATTTTTTTTCAAGTTCTCACTCTACTAACATTTTCTTTTCAGCCCTGAAAACACACTTTATAAAGAGAGAACAGCCCCACAGAGCTCTTGACCATAAGGGAAGAGAGAGAGTGTTTGGCAGACTTCAAAGCTTCTTCTACGAGGCTCTGAAACTTTGATCATCCATAAATTGTTACTCTCAGAAACACTGCACAACGACTTAGAAATGTCTATCATTTCCAAAGTTAAACAAAACTTGACTTTAATATAGGCATCTAAGTAAAAATAATCTCTCTGTACTTACCTTTGTCTTGTTTTGGGAAATCCTCTATTGCATTCAGCGTCTCAGTAATCGTTGCACTGACACTTTGATAAATGGAGACACTGAAATTACAAAACAGCTGGAAGAAGCTGGGAATGTCCCAACTTTGCACAAGATTCGATTTTTTCGTGGGCTCTTTGGATAAGGCTGGAAAAAAGTAAGGCTCAATTAAGTCTGTATCTGACATGAAATATGATTGAAAAGCCTGGTCAAATTCTTGCTGCATCTGTTTGAAGACGTTAAAACTTCTGTTATAGAGAAATCTCACGTCCACAGTTAATTGGCTGAATACATTCTCTATTTGGGTCAGTTGTGCATCTTCTTCAATGACCTTCTCACCAACAGGGAGGTCTTGTTCATTATCTTCATGGAAAGGAAACAGAAACTGATATATTTTCCTGAAAAACTGTTCAACCTGTGGGGTGGGGTGGGGGATAAAAATGGAATAAGAAATTAATTTTCTTTCTGGACCATTTCTTACTGTAAATTTTAAGGTCAACTTACAATAGTCATTCTGAATCAAAAACAATTCTGGGCAAGCAATTCTGTCCGCAAAGGTGACTCACTTTAAGATAATTTATTAACACTCTTGTATCTGGCTTTGACTTTGACTCTGGAAATAGCATCTGAAATTCCTCCTGGCTCGTGTTTGCCTACCAAAGCCCTAAAAAGGCCAAGTTTGCAATATTGTTGACAAGCCACAACCTGATGTACTGGCGGTGGTTGGCATGCCATGGTCTAAAGGACACCGTGTAGATTGCCCAAAAACTGTGAAGAAGGCTCTTGTTTTTCACTCCTGTCTTAGGGTTGTAGTTCTTTTTTTTTTCCCCTCAGTGGAATGTTATTAGTGTCTTTATCCTCTCCTCTTTCTTGTCTCATAAATTAGTTAGACATAAGACATACAGTTAAATAGATGACTTATAGATGGTTACATATTAGCAGTGGTCAAAGCCCTCCTTGGATGTAGTCAAAGGAACGAAGCTCTAATCGTGGCATTCCCTTCAGTGGGAGAAGATTTTCAGCAGTCACACCACGCTTTACTTCATCTATGTGACACCTAAGATTGTGCCAGAACATAGTTGCCCTTATACGATAGTGATATGGCCGCACTGAGTGTTATGGAACATTATTAACTATCAGATATCATCTCTGTGGCATCCCAGTGCTGTTCAAAGAATTCTCTAGAATTCTTAGAGGACTCATGCCTTTCTCAAAAAGTAATCTGGGTGGATCATCTGCCTCTCCCCTCTGCCAGCTTCTGTTTACCTGAATCGATCCACTAAAACAAAACTTTAAAGTCCCAAGAAATTTTCACAAAGTCACATAACTGGAACAGATAAGAATGGTCCCCAAGTCTCCTGATTTCCAGCCAGTGCTCGTTCCACCATAGTCTGCTGTATTAGAGAGTAACGGTGGCTATTAAAATAGAGCAGATGCAATGAACAGTGGTGGCAAATTAACTTGGCATATGAGTTATCCTAGGCGTTGCTCCCCCTATAACTGGGTACAGCACTGCCATGCCAGCAGCACACTCTAATTAGTGCACGCTCTAATATGCAGAGGGAAGCTTCACTCCATTTATATTCAGCTCACTTCTTGAAAGGGAAGGGAAATGTAGGCCAAGAGAATAGGAGCCTTTTATGGGGCAGAGCTCATCCTACTCAGGTCACCACCCTCTGTGATTCCCTCTGCCCAGATGATAGCCAAAGGGGACAAAAAAGAAAACCTGCCTGTGCTATTGGACACACATCGATCTGGGTAAAGGGGACATCAATGTGTGCTGCCACAAGAGGGCGGGTCTAGCGAAGGAAAGACTCAGGAGGCAGAGAACGTCTTCAAATGTTTGGCCTCTGGGGGAAAAATGAAAGCAGGTGGAATTCAGAGACTATAATACTATTATTCAGAATGCAGTTCAGCAAACTCTTACTAGATAACTACAATGCTTAAAAGAAGACAAATAAGATAGGGTCCCTGCCCTTAAAGAGCTTACAATCTAGTGGGAACATCTTCACAAATAATAAACACAAGGCAGATGGGTCAGGATATTTCTGAGAGAGACACACACAGCGTCATTAAAGGGAGGGACAAACGCTGCATGGCTGTTCTAACTTGTAACTGAATATACACGGGGATTCACACCTGAGCACGAAGGTTAGATTCTAGACTGCAAAAGGCCAGAATCAGATCAGGCATCTCTCGTCTAAACAGTAATATAAATTAAATGTTTTTTTTAAAGCAAGCTGAAGTAGTTACCTTAAGAAGTCTGAAATCTCAAGCTCTATTTCCCCTTACCGTATTTTTCATAGAGGTCCAACGAGGTTGGCAGGCTGTATAAAATCTCAGGCAGCTACTTTCCAGGCAGGACTTGCATTTGCCCCAGGATTCTGTCAAAGACGCCTGGCACAGCCTTTCTTCCTCTTCCAGATGTTCCTGAACTTCATTCATAAGCTCCAGGGCCTCCTAATTACAAAGTAGAAACAAACATCCTATTTCCATTTCATAAATCTATGTGTATCTTTGTTGATTTCACCCTTTAAAAAAATGTGTGGATTCTAAAGTAATTCTTCATTCTTTCTTCAGGCCCCTAGCAGCTGACAGATCTACCCCAAAGCTTCCTGTTGGATTAAGAAAAGAGCACTGATTGATCCCTATTGAAGATAGTACAAATCTTATCCATCTGTTCATTCATTTAGGCAACAGTTGTTTATTGAGTGCTTGCCATGGGACAGACATATGCTGGATGTGGGTGAACCAACAGTGAAGACAACAACAAAGTAGGAACCAACAATGGTCCTTACTCTGGGGACGACTCTAATCTACCTGCTTACTTATCTGTCTTCACATCTAGTCCTTCCAGGATGTGGAAAGTGGGTGTTAAGGCTTATAAAGCTGACACATTTATTCCCTTCATTGATGCTGCGTTTAATTACTGTATGTCCTTAAACATTGCCAGAAAGCGCAGTTCTTATGTGTACATCAAATCAAATCTGCCCCTTGAGTTACGTTCTAATTGCAGAGATGCTGTAGTCTGTCTTCATTCCTCTCGTCCACGTTCCGAGCACGCCCCCTGGTGGTGCCTTGCTGTACGTGGCCAGGTCCCGCTCTGGGTGTAAGGAGCCCAGGAGAAGCGACCCCTACCCCTGAGGACCTCAGTCCTGCCCCCAGGAGCTCCCCCCAGGCCAGCAGCCCTGCCTAGACGCCCGGCCTCCCTGCAAGTGTGGACTTCTGAAGACGGGCTCCCTCCAGGCCTGAGATGTAGTTCAGAGGAATTACCAGCGATTAACAGACTGCCCATAAGACAGTCTCAGAGCTAAAGTCAACTACTTAAGTGAAAACCACATGAGGGAGCAAGTTTCTGTACTTAAAACCAATTCAGTGTGCACTTTTCCCTAAGGGGATAGGAAAAGAACTCACTCTTTTCTGGCATGGTAAGCCCAAAGAACCACCTGGGCACTGACAATCTTGTCCCTCCCATCCGCTGGCTTGGACTTTTCAGCTGTCTTCCTGCCAAATCCTGGTGCTAAGCCAGGCGGCGCTGGCTGTGGCCACATAAGAAAACTGGCAGGGCCCTAGCCTGTCAAACACACCGTGTGACCCAGACAGAATTTTCTTGTCTCCTGGGGCGTTGCAGAACAACTTGGGAATCCTACATCTTCTCAAGAAAGGTTGCCTCATCTTGGCAGGCAACAAGACCGCCCAGATTTTCTCCATCAGTCCCAGTTTTAAATATTCTGCTCATTGTCATCATAAACCAAATCACAATATTTTCAATTCTGAACTACACTCACTGTCTACCCTTGGACAAATTACTTGTAAACATCTCCGAGCCTAATATCCTCGTTCGCAAATAGGAATAACAATAGGGTTTCCCTCTGAAGGTTTTGTCTGAAGTGAGATAAGCAAGCAAGGCACCCAGCGCGTTATTAGCAGTATCTCTGATTTCCTTTCACTTGCCTCCAAGAGCAGAACCGAAACCAGTTACCAAATTACCAGTGCCCAGGTTTGGTAGTGCAATCTTGCATGGAGGAAGTAGATCTCTGGGTTAGGAACGCCTTGTCCATTCCTTCTGTTTCTCCCTAATGCCCCACCCACTGGCAGGGTCCATATCTATTCCTGTAGTTTACAGCTTATCAAAGTCCCATCTAAACTTGGAGTGGGGGCAGTTCACTTGAAAGCACTTTAAGGTTTCCCACTTTAGTAAGTTTCAGATGCTCTCACTAAATATGACCAGAGGGGGGCTGAGGAGGGGGACCGTGATGACGCTGGGTCGCCTGAGGATGGGTGGTGCTCTGTAATGGGAGCCTGAGAGCGCCAACCCCATATTTGCAATTCATAATTTGTCTGAAGTGTCCTTTATTCTAGGTTTACAGAATTTTAGGAGGGAGACTTAGGATTGAACAGGTTTCTCTTTTTTAAAGTTAACTTCTTTTTTTTAAACTTTTTATTTTTCCTTCTTCTCCCCAAAGTCCCCCAGTACCCAGTTGTATATTCTACTTACAGGTCCTTCTCGTTGTGGCATGTGGGATGCCACCTCAACATGGCCTAACAAGCAGTGCCATGTCCACACCGAGGATCTGAGCTGCCGAAACCCTGGGCCGCCGAAGTGGAGCGCGAACGTAACCACTCAGCCACAGGGCCGGCCCCTAAAATTAACTGTTTAACTGAGTGCCCTAATCTCAAGTGTATAATTCAAAGAATTTTTAGACAATAAGTAGGTTTTTAAGAAAAAACAATTCTACCAGTTCCTAGGATTCTTCAGCGCCGGAACTGAAACCACCACTTGCTGACTTGACCCACCCCTAACTGGAGCCTTCTTTTCATAGAACTACACCCTTGGCTTGCCTGGAGGCTCGGGAAAGGGAGAAAAACAGAAGGTCACTGGTGGCACAGGCACACTGCCCCCTGACTTTCTCCCCAGTCATTCCTTACAGTGTTGGAGTAACATGTTAATTAACATCTCGAGCCTCAGTTTCCTCAGACATAAAATGAAAGCAATGGTTCACCCAAGGTTGGAAGGATTACATGAGACAACGTGTTTTATAAAGGGCCTGAAGTGATATCCAGCGTCATTGTTCCCAGTGGCCAGACTCACAAGCCCACCAGGGAAGAACCCAGCTCAAGGGCCTTCCCCATGTTCCTCAGGAGGAGCTATTTTTAACTTCCTCAAAATCTTTTCATTGCTGCCGAAAGAGAGGAGGGCCTGCAGCTGCGGGTCAGGCCACCTCCTTTCCTCACTAGGGACCTGCGTAACAGGGTGCGCAGATATGGCCGCAACACCAACCAGTCTGATGAGAGGCTGACTACAGCTTTGGGGTTGGCCTGTCACACAGCCCAGCTCCCACTGCTTAATGGATACCCAGAGACCGCCGAGCTCGGAAGTAAAGAGAACTCCAGCAGCTATCTGGAACTCAGTGGCCCCAACTTTATAGGTCTGTAGACATAGGGAGGAAATATTAGAACTTCTATTTGTACTTTTTAATTTAAAAATTGACTATGGGGAGACATTAAATAGGTGTAGAATTTCAGTTTTGCAAGATGGAAAGAATTCAGGAGACTGGTTGCCCAACAATGTAAATGTACTTAACACTATTGAACGGTGCACATAAAAATGGTTGAGACGGGAAATTCTATGTTATGTGTATCTTACCACAGTTTTAAAAAATGTTCTAATGAAAACAAATTTTAAACATAATTTACTCCAAATGTTAAAATTTAAAATATTTTCCAAGTTATTTTTTATTACAGTTTTGATTTCCCCTTTAAAGGTAATGGAAAATAATTTTTTTAAATGTAATTGCTTTGAGTGTCATGTTAATGGTTAAAGCTGTTGAACTACGAGCCCGTGCAGTGTCTATAACTTAGAAATGTACTGAGCTTTATACTGTAACATGTGAACAATTTTTAACATCTTCCATGGACATTTGAACACAATGTGTGTGTTCTTCATTGGTGAGATACATAGTTTCAACTATAACTATTAAGTAAAGGTATTTGAATTAAAAAAATGATGAGGCTGATGTACTGTTTCACATACATTGGTGGTTTCTTGCGGTGCTTGTCAGGCCATTGCACGTGGCCAAGTGCACGTGAGGACTCATCACATTCCAGAAGCACCCACAGTGACTCCCTCTTTCATTGCAGCTGATTGCAATGAATTGCCATTGAAGAGGACTCAGGTAAATAAATGATGGTTTTTATTCTCTAGCTTTAACTTAACTAGCTGTCACTAAATAGACAGGAGGCTTCAAAAGATTCTTAAAAAAAAATCCCAGTAGATTAAAAAATATGAATACTTTAGGCTCAGGTAGACAAGAAGCAAATGGCAGAGCTGACACCTCTTTATTATGAGCTTTTTATTGGCCACTTGACAGTCAAAATATGATGATCTAATCAGATCTGGCAAATTGGCTGAAAAGAAAATTCAAAATATCTACAAGATTATTTGAAATATGGACTTATATCCACCCTACCTAATGAGGAACTTCACCATAAGTGTATTTTGTGCCTTGAGATGTTAGCGTTAGCAATTCATGTGTCTGATTTATAAATAAATTAATATGCATATATGTAGGAGTGAATGCTAACAAATATTTTAGTGATGGGGATGGGAGATCAAAACACTTTGGAGACCACTGATCTAGCCTAAAATCTCCCCGAAGACTTTTGACTCAATATCCTAACCCAGAAGGGACTAAGGATAAAGCAGCATTTTCCAAACAGAGACAAATCCCCGAAATGCCTGGGTCTGGAGCCCTGTAAAGGCCTCTACTACAAGGAATGTGTTCTTTGAAGAAATTTAAAATTTCCTTCAAACTTTTCCTCCATTGAGGGCTGCTCTCAAGAAAATCTAATATTAGGGAACATAGGTAATTCATCAATTGCCCGAATAAGTGCAATATATATGGAGCAGATACGTTTAAGAACAGATAACTTTTTTCAATGCCTCTACCTGCTTTTCTTCTCTGCATTTCTTCAGGGTTTTCATTAGATGGGTATGTTCCTCCTCTCTCCTTTCCATCATGATTTTCATCTGCTTCATACCAATCAAAGCCTTCTTCACCTCTTCATCTACATCTATCTCCCCAGCATCGGAAAAACCTAAAAGAGATGTGGCAGCTTTTTTCTTTGAGATCTGATCAGATTACAAGGTATCTGTATCTGCATCAGAATACAATGAGTTCACCAAGATTTCATGTCCCCTAAATAGAGGCTTAATTGTTCTTTGATAGCATCAAACTCTGAAAGCAGGTCATAATGAATTAGTTGTCAGCTGTCAGTCACATGGACCAAGCTGCCACATGGACGGTACCTTCTGTTCCTCACTGCTGAGCTCTTAGACAAGTCAGAGTTCATTTCACCTCATTCTTGTCATTTTCTTCTAGGCCTGTTTTCATTTATCCAATTTTTTTCTTTCACTTAAAACCCAAGTGTGTTTATATTAGAGAAAATTTCAGATTTTTTTTTACAAACAATTTATTTTAAGTGCCCAACTGGGAACCTCAAACATAGTGAACAATTTCTCTTTCTTTCAGCTTCAATTACCTTCCTAGGAGGCATCGCATCTAGGAAGTAGTTCATCTAATGCAAGATGCTTCAGTAACCTACTGGACATCTTGCACACCTTTAATCAGCCTTTAGTGACTATAAAAGTCATTGTTAATGTCTCGCCACAATAGCTGATGTGGCTTCCTAAGGAGCTTATTCTTGCCTCCAAATTTAATTACAGACCTCCAAAAAGCAACATTTTAACTAATTTATTTTTCCAAGTGTTAAGTACCCAAAGCGCATATCATCAAGCAAAGGTCACAAGTTAATGAGCACAGACCAACCAGATGCGATGTCATTATAACCCATTCTTTCACTATCTCAGGAATAACTGCACAGATTACTTTAATTGTTTAAATTTTGCAAATGCTAGAAAAGAATTTCACTGTTCATTAAAACTATGCTTAGAGGACACCAAACATCTGGATGATACCATGAAATGCAGCCCAAAAGTTGGCAAGTTTTATCTATGTGATAGCAAACATCTGGAAATGTGAAAGTTCTCAGACACTCCATTGGAATTTTCTATTTTTGTCCAGATGTTTGGCGTCACGTCTACTTGGTTTAAGTGCCTAGAGAACGTCTCACCGTGAAATGAGAGGGCTGTAATGACCATGGTTATCTCTCAACTGTAAATCACTGTAAATGCCAGCAGGACACACAGACACGCAAACAGGACACGGCACAGATAAAGCAACTTACGTACCCTTCAGGTGTCCGTGGATGGCAGTTTTGTCCCCCCAAGTAGGTGCACAGTGACGATCTTTCAGCCACAGCAGATATACAATAAACACCAAGAGTGGCAGCCTCATGTTCCCGCTGTTACTGCAAAGGAAAAATAAACCAGCATCAAATGCCTTCTTCCATTAGTTTAGTGCCTGTCGGCATCAATCGAAAACACATGCTGAACCAAAGCACATTTCTGCCAATTTTTCTTCATGACTTGAGATAATTTACGCTAATATCCCTGAGACACAAGAAAAACTGGAATATAAATTTTTTTTAAAAAAACACCCAAGTCTCTATTTTGTTTACACTCTTTATGACAGTTAAATACAGTCATCATCTGAAGTACCTGAAATTTAAGGCAGTGAACACAGCCCCACAGAATCCAAACTTCATTTTATTCCCTTGTCAACAGTAAACATCCGCAAACACACTTAGTCAAAATAGATCAGAGGGATTTTTTTTCCTCCCAAATTCTGAATTCTCAAGTGAATTTTTACCTAGATGGTTAACTACTTATTTTTTTTATGAAAGCAAAACAGCCTCACACATTTTTCTCACACTTCTTATAAACCCCATCAAGATACATGAATAGCGCAAGTTAAATTTTTTTCTTCTCAGATAATGAATTTCCTTTTAAATTTAATTTGATATACACTAATTATAAACATTCCAAATTCAAATGTTTAAAACTTTACTAAAAAAAATTAAATAAATTAAAATAATTGTATGCTTTAATAAAGTTAAATTTATAAAATGTTAGATTAACTCTCCCCCAAAGGGGATATTACTCTGCTTTATGTGTATTTGCTACTTTGGGAAACAAACCCTCCATTATTTAACCAACATTAATCAACATTAAAAAAACACCTTTTTAATATGATAAAATAACATTGGTACAAGTAGTTACTAAGTTATCACATTTTACGTAGATCTACGTCTGTCATTTGAACTAATTCTTTTCTTTCTATTAAGACTCTATTTACCAAATGAAACTTTTTAATACAATATATTTACCTCTGACTTTGCAGTCTCTCTCCAGTAAGGTTAACACCAGCTTCTGGAAGCACCTTCACTTTTCTCTGAGTTAATTTTCACCGTGTCAGGGATTTAGCCTCCTTCTAGTAATTTGATGACACAGTTCTTAATCCTATTACCCTAAAATTCTCAAGATTAAGAGAGTGGTTAAAATTTGCTGTGTTTAAAAAGAAACGCTAGAGGGCGGGCTGTGCATATGATCAGGAACAATGACCCTGAGCTACTTTATTGTACACAAACAAGGTCTTTGTGGGGTTTTTTTTGTTTTTTGGCCTTTGGTTTGTGTGTGTGTGTGTGTGTGTGTGTGTGTGTCTGAATGTGAGGAAGATTGGCCCTGAGCTAACATCTGTTGCCAATCCTCCTCTTTTTGCTTGAGGAAGACTGTCCCTGAGCTAACATCTGTGCCAATCTTCCTCTATTTTGTACGTGGGATGCCTCCACAGCATGGTTTGATGAGCAGTGTGTAGGTCCACACCCAGGATCCAAACTGGCGAACTCCAGGTCACTGAAGCGGAGCCCACAATCTTAACCACTATGTCCCTGGGCCAGCCCCCTACACAAATATGTTTGATAGGACGAATTAAAGCCTTAAAAATTTTTTTATTAATTTGAAATTTATGATATGTATACTCCTATAGAGTCAAACAAATTTCTTTGATTGGAAACATAAGCAACAATATGAAATAGGGCAAGCAAACTCTTACATAAAACATTTTGAAGATTATTTACATAGTTTGGCATTTTTTGACTATATGCAAACGTATTTTAACTAGACTAAGTGATAAAATCTAGCATATGAATAACGCAATAGATGAGTATTTCAGGCCCACTACAGTTTGATAATTGATTAGCTGAACTAAAAATGTGGTCCCCCGATGATTCATTTAAAAACAACTCAGCTGTTAGTCATTACAGCCAGTGTAGAATCTACAGCCATGGGTCTCCCTGGCTCCTGAAATCTCAAAATCGTCTCGGGCCCCCTTTGAAGGTTTTTCTGGATTAGCCAATCAACGCTATGTGCCCGGTACTTTCTAAGCAGGTCAGACGGACAGTTCTGAACTGGACCACCTGCCTTTCAGGGGCCCTCAGAGGTTGGTCCTTGTGCTTCAGCAACCTGTAGTCCATAGCTTATCTCTGCTCTACTTGGGCACCGGGATGGGCAATTACAGGACACACTCAAAGGCCAGCCCACACCCCATTTCAGCTGTCTTGATTACCCGCTAAGTCTCTGTTTTAGTTGGAAACCTCTCAGCTCTGTTGGAAAACAGATCAGCTCAGAGCAAAACTTGAACTATGATGATTTTAAGTAGCCTAATGTCACTTTTGAGCAATTACAATCCACACCTATAAACAGCTGCATCCTGTCCTGAGAGGTGACCAGTTGGCCAATGGAAGAAGCAGCACTTAGAGTATTTTTCTTAGGAAGAGAAGAGCACAGTTCTGGAAAAGTCAGTTACAGGAAACTGTCCAGCGCTACTCTGAGCCTGAGAACCCTTGCTCACTGGTTTGCTGTTGTCCAAGTTTGGGCCCATTTGAGGTCATGGCTGGCATCTTCACACTCTTTTTCAACGAACCCAAATTTTATTGAAAATGGAACCAGTTGTTTAGGAAATCCAGTGGCTCACCTTCTAGTGGCAGATTTTTTCTGTAATCCATGGTCTCTCTTTTAAGTGTAATTTCTGAGAACAGAACTTTATTGCTAACTAGTACTAATTACTTTTAAAATATCTTGAAACTTCCAAAAAGAAATAATTTCTTCCTCTAATTATTTCATCTGTTTTCACAGCTGCCATTTTGTTCTTAAGAGTAAGCAATACTTCATACAAATTCAGTTACTTTCATAATTATGCCATCATTATGTTCAAGATTGAAGTGGATTATAAAATATTACAGATAGCTGGTTATAACTAAGGAGACCTCGAAGCAAGGTCATCTTAGCTAAGAAAGACTGCAAGAATATGCACGCCCTATCAACCAAGAAACAGATAGAGGAGTCAGACAGATGCACTTCGAAATCTCAGGCTAAGTTGCTGAGTTCAGGCTGGGACACCGTGTCTTAGATGTGCAGCCATAATGGACTTGCTGCTATGTTACCCCTGATTAGATTCGCCCACCATGCTACTGGCCTTCCCAGACAACCTCTGGGCTTCTCGTTGGGACACTTACTCTGCGGAGAGCAGACCGTGCCACTTGTACCATTCGTGCTATTTCCCATGTGAAGCCCAACTCCAGGATACAATGTTAATGGTCCCTGGAGTTGTGCAACCTGGAAGCCGTGCAGGTGTCCTGTAGACAAGCTGGGATTTGCTGTCTTGCGCCCGTAAGGTTGGAAAGGGAAGAAAAGAGAGAATCTCTAATGAATTGTCCTTAACTGATGAGATCCAGGGACTAAGAGATTCTCCCATGAGCCAAATAACTTATTCCTGCTTGGGAGAATGAGACAGGAGTGCTACCCTGGTAGAAGGCCCTTCACAGTAACAGGAGGCCATCTTCCTCCCCATGCCCACCAAAAAAATAAAAAATAAGGAGGGAACACAAAAGAGAAGTAAAATAAAAGACAAAAGCTAAAAGATCCAAAAAAATTACTTACATAGATGATAATAGTAATTAATTTCACTAGATCTATTTTCTTCCCCCCTTTCTCCTGTCCTTCCTTCCTCCCTCCCTCCCTCCCTTTCTTTTTTCTCCTCATTCATTCAGCCATTCATTTAACAAACTTAAAGGACGTGATTCACATTAAAAAGAAAAATTTTAGAAGTGGAGTATAAATTCTCTTTTAAAAATTATTGCCTTTGCAGTCGAAGGTTGGCTGACTCGCTAACAAAAAGGTCCAATGGCTTAACATAAGGATCACTAATCTAAGAGATCAGCTTCCATCAAAATCCCTACCATTCTGTTCACTCTGGTGCTCTGTCCTCATCTAAAAATGAGAAATAATCGGAAGAAATCATCTAAACTGTTTCTCCCAGCTCTAAAGTTCTGTGGTTATCATTTGCTTACTCTCACCAAGCTTCATTACAGTTTGACGGTAATAGATGAGTTGAATCTACCTGAAAAATAAAACATTTACTGCGACCTTATCTCTCCTATAGAGTTGCTGAACAGGTCACTTAAGTTAATACAAATGAAAATGTTTTATTGAGCCATAGAGCTCAACGTAATTGGAAGGCAGAACAACAGCCTCTTTAAAAAATTCAGACTAAACTAAAATTATTATTTTAGACTCATATAACATAGGCAGCAAAAGTGGGCATTGAATCCAGACTTCAAAACCTGTCATGAAAAACATGAAGCTTGAATACAATATGAGGAAATTACACCCCACTTAACCTCATCATGAAAACAGAATTTATCTGTACCTACAAGCATTACATAAATTTAATTATTGATCAGGATGTATATAAATACCAAATACATTCTAAAATTTCCATTATACCCAGCATGGTACCTCTCTTGCTTCCAGCGAGTTCGGCTCTTGGAGTAGCTTCTCCAGGAAATGTATGTTGGACACCTGGTACGTCCCCCACACTGAGGACAGAGTGAGGACAAACAGACAGCCTCTGCTACCGAGGCGCTCATGTCGCGTTCCAAACGGAGGGAGGGAACAATACACAAGGAAGTACATAAGAAGAGCGTATGGGAGAATGAAAGCTGTCACGAAGAAAATAAAAGCCGAGGAAGGTGGTTGCGAATAATTTGGAAGGGGAGGTGCTACTTTCGGCTAGGCAGTCAAAGAAGGCCTCTCCAGGAGGGACCTCCATCTAACACGATCCTCGAATGCAGGTCCGATACCTGAGAGCCTGTCCAGCTACCTAATCTGCAGGGCCCAGAGCGAAATTAAAAGGCAGAGCCCCTTGTTGAAAAATTATTAAGGATTTTAAGACGGCAACCGCAGAGCATTAAACCAATCGCAGGGAGTCAGCCCTGCCAGAGGGACACGAGCAAGCGCGGGGGTGGGAAGGAGGCCAGCGCGTTGGCGGAAGGGGATGGAGGCCACGTGGCAGGGCGCAGGGAGAGGAAGAGGAAGTGCGATATTAGGTGAAGAGGCGGAAAG